CTTGGATAAGAATAATAGGCTTTCAGCAAAAACCATAACATGGCTTGATATGGTTCTAGATAACATAGAGGAAATAACTAAGACAACTATAGTTTGAAAGGGGAAGGTAGAGAAATTTTAAGGGCTTTATCTCAGGGTTTGTATTGCTGTGATAAAATTCCATGACTAAAATCACCTTAGGGAAGAAAGGACTTATTTCACCTTACAACTTGTGGTCTATCATCCAGGGAAGCCAGGACTGGAACTCAGGCAGGGACCTGGAGATGGGAACTGATGCAGAGGCCATGGAGGAACAATGTTAACTGGCTTGCTCTTCCTGGCTTTCTCAGCCTGCTTTATTATAGCATCCAGGACCAGGAGCCCATGGCTGGTACTACCCACAGAGATCAGGGCCTTTCCACATCCATCATTAACCAAGACAACATACCATAGACTTTTTCAGGGTCCAATCTGGTGGAAAAATTTCCTCAGTTGAGGTTTTCTCTCCCTAAATGTCTCAGTTTGTGTTAAATTGAAATAAAATTAGCCAGTATAGGGCTGTTCATAGTCTGCTGTAACTGAACTTTCAAAACCAGTTTGTTTTACATGTCAATCCCAGTTCCCTCTCCCTCCTCTCCTCCCCTGCCCCCAACTAACACCCTAACTATCCAATACCATTTCTGCTCCCCAGGGAGGGTAAGGCCTTCCATGGGGGGCTTGCACTAAAGACTGAGAAATTATGAAAATAGAATAATCACTACAAAATTCATAGATTTTTCAAAACTACTACAAATGAATAAAAGAATGTTGCATAACCAACAGAATGTCAGAAAAAGAAAATTAATAGATAAGTGAATCAGAAAACAAAATAAAACAAGACTCTAAGGTTTCAGTAACTACACTAAATGTAAACGGAATAAATATGAATTGGCATAGTAGGTTAAAACCAATACCCAACTATATGCTATCTATAAGAAAAGATCTACAAGGATGAAACCAACAAACAATCTAAGCAACAGAGGAGAGGCTACCTTAAATGCCCTCCCCTGATAATGAGATTGATGACTAACTTGTATGTCATCCTAGAGCCTTCATCAAGCAGCTAATGGGAGTAGAAACAGACACCCATGGCTAAACACTAAATTGAACTGTAATCCAGCTGCAGAGGAGGAGTGATGAGCAAAGGGGTCAAGACCGGGCTGGTGAAACCCACAGAAATAGCTGACCTGAACAAGGGAGAGCTCTTGGTTCCCAGGCTGATAGCTGAGAAACCAGCATGGGACTGATCCAGACCCCATGAACATGGGTGTCAGTGAGGAGGCCTCAGAAATCTATGGGGCCTCTTGTAGTAGATCAGTACTTATCCCTAGCGTAGGAATGGACTTTGGGAGCCCATTTCACATAGAGGGATACTCCCTCAGCCTAGACACACAGGGAAGAGCCTAGGCTCTATCCCAAAGGCTATGACAGACTCTGAAGACCCCCCCCCATGGAAGGCCTCACTCTCCCTGGGGAGCAGAAAGGGTATGGGATAGGTAGGGTGTTAGTGGGGGGCAGGGGAGGAGGGGAGGGAGAGGGAACTGGGATTGACGTGTAAAACAATCTTGTTTCTAATTAAAAAAACGGAAAAAGAAAAAAAGAAACTTCAAAATGTAAGTAAAAGATAGGAACGTTAATCAAACGAAAGAAGAAATGGCATGGCGACATCACATAATCTAAAGTATAAAGAAAATTGCACAAGACTGAACACTCTTCCTCAGCTTCTTGCCCTTTTCAAAATGCAGGTCAGGACTCCAGTACAGAGAATGTGACGTCTTTATTTAGGATGAACATCCAGCTTCAATTAATATAAACAAAATAATCACCCACAGACCTTTCCAAAAGGCTTGTTTCTTTGTTGACTCTGGATCCTTTCAGGTTGAGAATCAATATTGAGAGAGTTTGGAGGAGGGAGACAAGCTGACACACAATAGGCCAACATGAGGATCCTGGGGTGAAAGAAATACTGTTTCGACTGCAAAGAAATTCTTGGTTTTGATAATGCACTATTGTTTTGCAAAGTATCAGGACTTAGAGAAATAGACAAATTAGCATATTGTTTATTATAACTTCATAAAAATCAAAAATATATTAAAGTAGAAAAAATGAGCCAAAATGAAAAAGATAGGGGCTTGATAGATCATTCCAACGTATACTGAGTAGGATGCCAGAAGAACTTGGGATTTATCTGTGACACACTTTTGGCCACCATCTGTCAGCTGTCACTACTTTGCAATGTGGATGGACCACTAATTCTAATGACGACACTCTCTGAAATACCCAAAGTCACCCAGCAATGTGACCCTCAGAATTTCACATTTGACCTTGTGGTTCTTTGTGGTTGTTTTATTATCTGGATATCTCTAAGGTTCCCATGGCCTAAGTCTGAGACACAGAGGCCATTATGGCTAATGATTCTATGTATCTACTACCTACTAACCGATTCTGACACCAGAGCACCATAGCTAGATATGTCAAAGCTGAGGACATAGGATGGTTTCCATATCATCCTCCCAAAAGCAACATTGAATTCAATACATCTTGGTGCCTGCCAATGTACAGAGCCACCTTGGTTTAACAAATTCCAGAAGACTATTGATGGTCCAGAGAGGCTTGCTGTTTCCTGATCTGAGAACCCATTGTGCCTACCACATGACTCAGGCTTGTCTATAGAGTCAGAGTCACTCCACACTGATAGAAAGTTAAACTTTGATGTATAAGCTGTTGTAAGGGAGTAGAGAGTAGCTTTACTTTTCATACCTCAGTGAAGAAGTACTTGCCAGCCCTATGCCCTTCCTACCCACATTTGCTGTGACACTTTGCTGTACTTGTTACTCTCCCCATCGCTGTGGTAAAATGCCCATTAGAGCAACCTAAAGACAGGTAGGGTTTATTCGGCTCACAGTTTCAGAGGATATCATTTGTCATGACAGGGAAGGAGTGCTAAGCCCAAGAATGGGGTGGGTGGTCACATTGTATCCACAGCCAAAAGGGGGAGAGCAATGGATGCTGGAACTCATCTGGCTTTCTGGCTTTCCCACCCCACTCATTAGACAGTGCCACCCACATTCAGGGTGAGTCTACTTCAGCCAAAGGCCCCTGGAAGCACCATCAAAGATACGGTGAGGAGTTTGTTTCTTAGGTGTTTCCAAATCCCATCAATCTGACAATTAAGATTCACTCTCGTGAATGTCCCTTTGCAGTTTATCATGACAATCCACTCAATGTGACAAAACAAAAAAGGACATGAAGCACCAAGGCCCTCAAGATGGTTCATCAGACAAGGGCACAGTGCCAAGCCTGATGACTTGAGGTGATCCCTGGAACCCACATGTTGGAAGGAGAGAACCAATTCCCTCAAATTGTCCCCTGACCTCGACAAGGACACCATGACATACATAAGCACAGTCTCTACTACCTTGGTCATGCATGTCTAAGTAAATCTGTGCCTCTACTTTTTAATCTGTGAAATGACAAATAGGATTTTCAAAAAGTTCTAGATTTTCTCTAGAACAGTGGTCATGACCCCCACAGGGGATGCATATGAGATATCCTGTACATCAGATATTTACATTACAATTCATGACCATAGCAAAATTACAATTAGAAAGTACAATGAAATTTTTTTTTTGGTTGGGGGCCACCACAGCGCCAGGAACTGTATTAAGGGGTTGCAGCATTCGGAAGGTTGAGAACTGATGCTCTAAGTGTTACCTCACCTATTCTCATCATTTCCCCTCTTCCACCCTGTATCTTTCTCCATCCATTTACTCTCATCACTGAAAGCCATCCTCCTTGCTTCCATTATGATCAACTGGCAGGGAGCTTTCTGAGGCACACTTATTATTCAAGGTGCTGAAGACATAGGGTTGCAGTCTGGCTATACGTGCATCTTAAAAGTGAACACGAGTCTTTGCTGTTTTTAAAAAATGCCTTAGGCACCCCACCTGGATATCCTTCACATTTCCATTTTAAAGCTATGCCTTGTCTTCTTGGGAAGGGTGGAGATGCATACAATCCACGTCTCATTACTATGATAAAGGAACGAAGCAGGCTGACCTTACTTCTTAAATCAGTTCATGTAGCCTCTAGTTTTACAGAGGAAAATCCAACATCAACTTTTGGTGGAGGTCTAACAGTTGATGACATCACAGGAAAGCCCCTGAGAGAGGGAGAGGTCACCCTGTCAAACAGGAAGCCAAGGACCATTCAGGGGTCAGACACACTAAATGACAACTTGATGTCATGGGAGCTGCTGAAATCACTTCCAAGAGTAGGGCCACCAAAGACTAGTCACCTCCCTTGCATTAGGCTCTGTGTCTTCATTCTTGCTATTTGTTTTTTTCTTTAACAAAGCATATTTCATTCCAATTTTCTCATATATATATATATATATATATATATATATATATATATATATGTATATCCTTCTTCATCTCACTGTGCCTCTCTTGCTGGTCCCTGTCTTTCCTCTACTAGCCCCCTTTTGCTCTCATCACACGTGTTGTTACTCTCTTTTGCTTTCTCTTTCTCCTCCTAGGCTCCCCTAAAACCTCTTTTCTTCTCTCACAGTCCCTTTACTAGCGGGTTATATGACCTAACCTGCATCAGGCATCCATCCAAGGAATGAAAACCTTTGACTCCCTGTGAACAAGTTTAGCTATACACACACACACACACACACACTCACACACACATATACACACACATATA